TCATGTGTCTCTTTACATATATTACATATATACCTTTATTATTTTTTTCTTGTGAGCATTCCGATGTAGTGGTTACATAATGAATCTAATTAATCTAATTCAAATGACAAGATTGTGATAAACATAGCCTCATGAAGCTAGTTGTCTTTCACTTTTGTGCAAAGAACTATTCTGAGCACATTAACGGCTTTTTCATTCTTTATTTTCTTGTGATCCGCTTTTTATTTATCATTTTTTTATTTATTTATCAACTTTAAATTACTTTTTAATATTACTGTTTGTACAACTGTGTACCATTTAAAGCCTGACATATGAAAAAAAATGTAAATGTATCAGTTTATTGAACCTTTAGATAATCTTTTTTTTTTTTTTTTATCAAATTTGATACATCACATTTGTATGGCTCGTAGTATTATTTAAGAGAATATGGAGCTCACACTCAACAAGAAAAAAAAAAAGCTTTTTTTCAGCAAAGTTTTGATCATGGCCTTAGAAATGTTTGTATCAAATATAATACAGTAGGCTTTATAAAGTTAAAGACAAACGTGGTAACCAGGATTGTCTGTGCTTGCAGGTGGACTCCCAGGGAAATATCCTTCTGACCACCCTGGAGATCCACAATGAGGTGGCTGGGAATGAGGTCACCACCAGCGTTAGCGAGGCCCGAAACTCCACTTCAGTGGTGTTCGATAACTCAGGGATCCAGTATCGAAAACAGAGCACTGCACGGCCCGATGGCCGCCACAGCATGGACAGGAACACGCAGCCCAAGAAACCGCGGCTACGTAGACGCTCTTCTCAGCTCAAAATCAAAATCCCTGACCTCACAGACGTGAACGCCATTGATCGATGGTCACGGATAATATTTCCTTCAGCTTTCTCTCTTTTCAACTTGATCTACTGGCTGTATTATGTGAATTAGGCCTGAGACGTCAATGGGTTTTTGCCCCTTCACAATATTTTTTTATGTTGCCAAGTGGAAAATAGAGACTTTTTTTGCTCTGACATACTTAAGGGACGTACTTGCGCGCCATATATATCAAGGTTTTTCTACAATTTAACCTTTGTTGTGAAGGGTTCAGAAGGAAGGCTACCTGCACTAAAACCCACTCTCACATACCGTACATATGTGCTCAAACATTCCCATTCACACATACACAAAATCAGTTTTCTAAAGACTATCTCTGTACATACATGTTGCAATTTTTGAAGCCATAGGACTTCCGCATGATGCACTCAGAACTGTTTTTAATTTGTACATGTTGCTATGTTATTCCAATTGAAAGATGCTAATTGCAAATGTTTCATGCCAATAAGTCTTTATTGTTGAAGCGCAGGAGACTATTATTGAAAGAAGATTATATAGTTCTTGAAATGCAGTATATAACAAGGGTTGTAGGTCAAATCATGTCTTCAGTTTCAAAGCTCGCTACATAAACATCAGCTGCACTAAACGTTGCTGTTATGATCTTATTTAGACAAAGTTTGTATATAATCATGTTATGATATGCTTTTGGAACATGATTTTCATCCGTCTTTGGTTGATATGATTATACGCCACTTTTTTGCAATCATCATGTAAAGTGCTTCAGTACATGCAAGATAAGATAATAATTGTACACTTATCTCATTTAAAAAATATCAAGAATTAAGAAAAATAACAAAAATAAATAAATACTGCAAATGTGGAGTATTTAAATCAGGGCCTCCAAAGGATTTCCACGATGCCATCATGAACATCAAGCATAACTAGACGAACAATCCTGACATTGTGTTTTGGTTTTTGTTAGTCGATGTGTAGCATTACTGTATGATTTTCAAGTGAGAGGTTTGGGTGTTTTATTCCCCTCCATTTTTAAAGAATGCCTGTTTCATTTCAGATATCATTGTGTGGGTCTTTTGTAAACATTGTATGGCCTATTTTCAACACATCACTTCATTTCCTTCCCTTCTGGTGAGGGTTATTTCCATTGACGGTAAATGGAAAAGCTTGTAATGCATTTGAGGTAATTATACGTTGGCATTAAAACTTGTCTCAGGTTCTCGTCCAACATGAAAATGACCCAAATTTTTCTGATTGTCAGTATTCACATCATATTTGTTGTGATTAATAGGTATTATATCCTTGTGTACAGCAACAACAATTACATAGATTTAGACAGCATGATATTGTTTGCATTTAGAGATTCTACACTGATTGTGTATGATTTTGTTTTGGGAGATTTCTTTACCACCGGTCATATGCACTTACTCTGTTTCAGGGGCTGAAAACTGCTGTCTGGTTGAGAGTAATGTTATATACTCATGCTTGCAAATCATCTGAATATACATATAAATCTCTTTAAAATATCCCCCGTGTGCTGTTAACATGTCATATTAACAGGTTGCTTTGCAGTTGCATTGTGCCAGTTGATGCTTATCAGATGCTCATTAATTCTTTAATGACTTTTCTTCCCTCTTCTATTGTATGTTGTAAATATATAACCCACAATCCACACATTTGACCCATTTGTTTCTTTCTTTTTTTCTAATATTCATTTCTGAGGTTTTATTCTGTACAGTCAACCCCACAAATGACCAGATCTCTATTTATGAAATGTGTTTAAATGATTAGAGGGTTGAATGTCCTGAGGACAATATGAGGAAATGGAATAAACTTTACTCTTTCAAGTAATTGGTTTTGCCTTATTTCAAATTTTGATGAGGTGTTTTTAATAAATTGATGTCATTATCAACATCATTATGCATACAGTTATGCATACCTTCTCCCCATAAGTCGAGTCGGACACTTATTTATTAGTCCAAGTACTGGAAAGAGGAATGTTTTAAAAAAGTAAATGAAATAAAAATAAGCTATAACTGACGAGCAATGGTGTTCTTGTTGGTCTTATGAAAAGTGGTTTTATTGACCTTTTTTTCGGTGTTGGGCAAGAGCTTACAGATTTCAATAAGCTGTGCTGTTTCAACACCTGATGTTCATTATGTCTTTCCGCATTACAACTTTTTGACAGTTACAGCGATCTTCCACTAAGAGTCAAAATTACATTTATTGTTTGTTTCGTTAATAAAAATAATAATAAAGTGAAAGCCACAAATTAATCAAATTATTATTGTTGTTTATTTTTCTTATAATTGCATTTCTCGACATATGTATATAGTTGATGATGTAGATCACGGAGCGCGTTATATGGTTATATAGATAGCTTCCTCCTAACCGATTTACTTTGTTAATACGCAGAAACTGCTGTGTAAACCAATTTTAGGTTGATTTCTCTCGCATTACGTGAATAAACACTGCGGCACTATCAAAATATGTCTGTCGTTTGAGCGTGATGGTCCTCACTGCAGAACACAAGATCCAGGGGGCATGGTTGGATCCAGATCCAACTCCTCCCACCTTACATATACCTAAACCTACCCGTCTCCACCCCCTGATCCCTAAACCCACCCAACTCTACCCCTAAACCTATCAATCTCCACCCCCTAGATGTGGATCCAACCACGCCCCCTGGATCTTGTGTTCTGCAGTAAGGGGCTACTGGTTTGACCGACCAATGATGGAGTGTTCATTTTCTGTTCATTTTTTCGTTTCATACGTTTTCTGATATCCTGATGAGCCCAGCCCGGGAAAAGGTAATTCATTGTTGTTTTTTTTTTGTTGTTTTTTTACAGCTTTATCAAGTGTTTAGAGAAGGCAGATTGGACAAGCTTGCATCAGGTTTGCAAATCCTGAGCACAACACTCCATCATGCATCCAATTTAATACTAATTCAAAGGCAGTATGAGGGGAATAATAACTCTGAATACAAACTCCAGCTTATTGAGCAGTGTTGGGACTAAATACAGTATTTGACACTAGAACAGCAGG